ACACTGACATGGTGACAGAGCACTGTAATGACAACGAGCACTCTATGACACGATGGTGCATTGACACAGGGCACACTGACATGGTGACAGAGCACTGTAATGACAACGAGCACTCTATGATACGATGGTGCATTGACACAGGGCACACTGACATGGTGACAGAGCACTGTAATGGCAACGAGCACTCTATGACACAATGGTGCATTGACACAGGGCACACTGACATGGTGACAGAGCACTGTAATGACAACGAGCACTCTATGACACGATGGTGCATTGACACAGGGCACACTGACATGGTGACAGAGCACTGTAATGACAACGAGCACTCTATGACACTATGGTGCATTGACACAGGGCACACTGACATGGTGACAGAACACTGTAATGGCAACGAGCACTCTATGACACGATGGTGCATTGACACAGTGCACACTGACATGGTGACAGAGCACTGTAATGACAACGAGCACTCTATGACACGATGGTGCATTGACACAGGGCACACTGACATGGTGACAGAGCACTGTAATGACAACGAGCACTCTATGACACAATGGTGCATTGACACAGGGCACACTGACATGGTGACAGAGCACTGTAATGACAACGAGTACTCTATGACACAATGGTGCATTGACACAGTGCACACTGACATGGTGGCAGAGCACTGTAATGACAACGAACACTCTATGACACAATGGTGCATTGACACAGTGCACACTGACATGGTGACAGAGCACTGTAATGACAACGAGCACTCTATAACACGATGGTGCATTGACACAGTGCACACTGACATGGTGACAGAGCACTGTAATGACAACGAGCACTCTATGACACAATGGTGCATTGACACAGGGCACACTGACATGGTGACAGAGCACTGTAATGGCAACGAGCACTCTATGACACACTGGTGCATTGACACAGGGCACACTGACATGGTGACAGAGCACTGTAATGACAACGAGCACTCCATGATACGATGGTGCATTGACACAGGGCACACTGACATGGTGACAGAGCACTGTAATGACAACGAGCACTCTATGACACAATGGTGCATTGAGACAGGGCACACTGACATGGTGACAGAACACTGTAATGGCAACGAGCACTCTATGACACGATGGTGCATTGACACAGTGCACACTGACATGGTGACAGAGCACTGTAATGACAACGAGCACTCTATGACACAATGGTGCATTGACACAGGGCACACTGACATGGTGACAGAGCACTGTAATGACAACGAGCACTCTATGACACGATGGTGCATTGACACAGGGCACACTGACATGGTGACAGAGCACTGTAATGACAACGAGCACTCTATGACACAATGGTGCATTGACACAGTGCACACTGACATGGTGGCAGAGCACTGTAATGACAACGAGCACTCTATGACACGATGGTGCATTGACACAGGGCACACTGACATGGTGACAGAGCACTGTAATGACAACGAGTACTCTATGACACAATGGTGCATTGACACAGTGCACACTGACATGGTGGCAGAGCACTGTAATGACAACGAGCAATCTATGACACAATGGTGCATTGACACAGGGCACACTGACATGGTGACAGAGCACTGTAATGACAACGAGCACTCTATGACACAATGATACATTGACACAGGGCACACTGACATGGTGACAGAGCACTGTAATGACAACGAGCACTCTATGACACGATGGTGCATTGACACAGGGCACACTGACATGGTGACAGAGCACTGTAATGGCAACGAGCACTCTATGACACAATGGTGCATTGACACAGGGCACACTGACATGTTGACAGAGCACTGTAATGACAACGAGCACTCTATGATACGATGGTGCATTGACACAGGGCACACTGTCATGGTGACAGAGCACTGTAATGACAACGAGCACTCTATGACACAATGGTGCATTGACACAGGGCACACTGACATGGTGACAGAACACTGTAATGGCAACGAGCACTCTATGACACGATGGTGCATTGACACAGTGCACACTGACATGGTGACAGAGCACTGTAATGACAACGAGCACTCTATGACACAATGATACATTGACACAGGACACACTGACATGGTGACAGAGCACTGTAATGACAACGAGCACTCTATGACACACTGATACATTGACACAGGGCACACTGACATGGTGACAGAACACTGTAATGACAACGAGTACTCCATGACACAATGGTGCATTGACACAGTGCATACTGACATGGTGGCAGAGCACTGTAATGGCAACGAGCACTCTATGACACAATGGTGCATTGACACAGGGCACACTGACATGGTGACAGAGCACTGTAATGACAACGAGCACTCTATGACACGATGGTGCATTGACACAGTGCACACTGACATGGTGACAGAGCACTGTAATGACAACGAGCACTCTATGACACAATGGTGCATTGACACAGGGCACACTGACATGGTGACAGAGCACTGTAATGGCAACGAGCACTCTATGACACAATGGTGCATTGACACATGGCACACTGACATGGTGACAGAGCACTGTAATGACAACGAGCACTCTATGATACGATGGTGCATTGACACAGGGCACACTGACATGGTGACAGAGCACTGTAATGACAACGAGCACTCTATGACACAATGGTGCATTGACACAGGGCACACTGACATGGTGACAGAACACTGTAATGGCAACGAGCACTCTATGACACGATGGTGCATTGACACAGTGCACACTGACATGGTGACAGAGCACTGTAATGACAACGAGCACTCTATGACACAATGATACATTGACACAGGGCACACTGACATGGTGACAGAACACTGTAATGACAACGAGTACTCTATGACACAATGGTGCATTGACACAGTGCACACTGACATGGTGGCAGAGCACTGTAATGGCAACGAGCACTCTATGACACAATGGTGCATTGACACAGGGCACACTGACATGGTGACAGAGCACTGTAATGACAACGAGCACTCTATGACACGATGGTGCATTGACACAGTGCACACTGACATGGTGACAGAGCACTGTAATGACAACGAGCACTCTATGACACAATGATACATTGACACAGGACACACTGACATGGTGACAGAGCACTGTAATGACAACGAGCACTCTATGACACACTGATACATTGACACAGGGCACACTGACATGGTGACAGAACACTGTAATGACAACGAGTACTCCATGACACAATGGTGCATTGACACAGTGCACACTGACATGGTGGCAGAGCACTGTAATGGCAACGAGCACTCTATGACACAATGGTGCATTGACACAGGGCACACTGACATGGTGACAGAGCACTGTAATGACAACGAGCACTCTATGACACGATGGTGCATTGACACAGTGCACACTGACATGGTGACAGAGCACTGTAATGACAACGAGCACTCTATGACACAATGGTGCATTGACACAGGGCACACTGACATGGTGACAGAGCACTGTAATGGCAACGAGCACTCTATGACACAATGGTGCATTGACACATGGCACACTGACATGGTGACAGAGCACTGTAATGACAACGAGCACTCTATGATACGATGGTGCATTGACACAGTGCACACTGACATGGTGACAGAGCACTGTAATGACAACGAGCACTCTATGACACAATGGTGCATTGACACAGGGCACACTGACATGGTGACAGAACACTGTAATGGCAACGAGCACTCTATGACACGATGGTGCATTGACACAGTGCACACTGACATGGTGACAGAGCACTGTAATGACAACGAGCACTCTATGACACAATGGTGCATTGACACAGGGCACACTGACATGGTGACAGAGCACTGTAATGACAACGAGCACTCTATGACACGATGGTGCATTGACACAGGGCACACTGACATGGTGACAGAGCACTGTAATGACAACGAGCACTCTATAACACGATGGTGCATTGACACAGTGCACACTGACATGGTGACAGAGCACTGTAATGACAACGAGCACTCTATGACACAATGGTGCATTGACACAGTGCACACTATAACACGGTGACAGAGCACTGTAATGACAACGAGCACTCTATGACACGATGGTGCATTGACACAGGGCACACTGACATGGTGACAGAGCACTGTAATGACAACGAGCACTCTATGATACGATGGTGCATTGACACAGGGCACACTGACATGGTGACAGAGCACTGTAATGACAACGAGCACTCTATGACACGATGGTGCATTGACACAGTGCACACTGACATGGTGACAGAGCACTGTAATGACAACGAGCACTCTATGACACGATGGTGCATTGACACAGGGCACACTATAACACGGTTACACAGAGTATGACATTTGTCTCTCTGAGTGCACAATGGCAATGGTGTTTTTGGTTGGTCTCCAGATGTCAAGAATTTACAGGCACGTGTATGATTCAGATCGTATTGCCTCTACGTGATCTTTTTTGTGTGATGCCTAGAAACTTGGAACATAAATAAATTGGTCTTGAAACACAGAATTGTAGACAACACGTACAATGTCTTGGCCTACGCCATGAACATTGAAAAAATGTAAGTATGATTTATCACATACCTATTGCTTGGTTACAAGAAATTTGTTTTATAAGTATCATAATCGTTTGGAAGAGGCAGCGTCCTGCACGGATGGTAGAACTGGCACAGGTTGTAATATTCAACAAATTTAACTGACCTGTTGTTACTGTAGTGCTGAACTGGATGGATCATTATGCAAAATGCCTTTGTGTCTAGGTAACAAAAAGAAAATGTAGATTAATATGCTCTGCAAAAACAGAAACACAAAAGTGTTTTTTCCGATGTTTTCTTTATGTGTTATATAAAAGAATCGTCCACAGGTGATAATGAATTGTTCAAATTTGGCACAATCAATTGTCAGTGACGGAGGTTTATCATGGTTCAGATGAAACAATCGAGTGTCAAGGGGAAGGCCATCTGTGTATCCGGGGTCGAAAAGTGTGTACACCTCGTCCGCCTTCAGGGAGTAGCGGTTGTTTGCATTGAAACCTGTCCTACACCTACAATCATGCAATACCTAGGGTAGGTTGCAGGCTTGCAGTGGGTATTTACCCGTAGACAGGTACAGGCATCAGCTGAACCAAGGGTGGTGGTGGGGATTGACAAACGAATATTGCGAAAGTCACAAAACACATTCTTTGTTTTCCAATAGGTTGTATCTGCGCTGGGTTCACAGAGACCTCGTATCCGTGATAAAGGTAAGATAACAACGACTACATGTAAATGTGACAAAGGATCTGCTTAATAGCCGTTGACTGCATATTTCATGATATTGTGGTGCGTCCGTGTGTGTTTTAGAGGAAGGTTCAGAATTGCGTTGATTTGAGGACTACTGAATGAGAGGAAGCTGGGTTTGAAGACCGTGATGTACGTGGTTTGTGTGATATTAACTGTATATTGACGTGCTTAATAAGCATTTGGGTTAGGAGTGGACGGCCTGTGGCTAAGGTGTAACTGGTGAGAGAGTATTGAATCATTTCAATATATTCATTATAGAATAGATGATGTTTTGGCTTTTCACCATACTAATATAACAAAAGTTGATGTCTTTGAAAATGGGCTGAAATGCTGTCAGTATTGACATTATACCCACTGAGAGGTAGTAGGCCAGTTGCTTTGTTGGTCAGTTGTTCCTCATGTTGGCTGTCAATCAGGGGTCCGGTACATGTCTCCCAGACAGGGGACCAGTGTACTGCTGTCAATCCTTGGTTCAGACAGTATGATGTGCTGTCAGTCCTTTTCTCACTCATGAGGATGTGCTGTCAGTCCTTGGCTCAGTGAGTGAGTGAGTTTAGTTTTACGCCGCACTCAGCAATATTCCAGCTATATGGCGGCGGTCTGTAAATAATCGAGTCTAGACCAGACAATCCAGTGATCAACAGCATGAGCATCGATCTGCGCAATTGGGAACCGATGACATGTGTCAGCCAAGTCAGCGAAACTGACCACCCGATCCCGTTAGTCGCCTCTTACGACAAGATAGTCGCTTTTTATGGCAAGCACATGGGTTGCTGAAGACCTATTCTACCCCGGATCTTCACGGGTCCCTTGGCTCAGTATGATGTGCTGTCAGTCCTTGGCTCAGACAGTATGATGTGCTGTCAGTCCTTGGCTCAGACAGTATGATGTGCTGTCAGTCCTTGGCTCAGACAGTATGATGTGCTGTCAGTCCTTGGCTCAGACAGTATGATGCTGTCAGTCCTTGGCTCAGACAGTATGATGTGCTGTCAGTCCTTGGCTCAGACAGTATGATGTGCTGTCAGTCCTTGGCTCAGACAGTATGATGTGCTTTCAGTCAGGCCTTCAATTGTAATGATGTGAGGAGTGAGCTCACTCAGTCAGGGAGCTTCCTCACTTGCAGTCAGGTGTATGATGTAACCTGTCGTTAAAGATACAGGTGCAACTGTCAGTGAATGTTGCTACCCCATTATTCGATCACATATTCATACACTATGAGCTGAAAAGAGGTGAATGGACTGAAATATTTAGACAATAACTAACGAGTGACGGGGAATGACAGATTTTCTTTCCCGAGCTATATTAATGATATTAACAGTTATAAATAATGAATATAACGAGGGAAAGGTATTCTGTCATTCCTCGTCACGAGGTGGCTATTGTTGTTCTGTTCTCTCAGTTGTTTGTGTAACTACCCACGAGTGATAACCAACGGGACAACCAACCAACACGACTTTACTGACAGAAGTTTCTTTCCTTGCTAAATCGATATATTAACAGTAATAAATAATGCATTTAACGATAGAAAGCTATTCGACAACTAATTACAATCATTGCAATTGTTTTTATTTCCCATATCAGGTTTCGATCTAATAAACGCTAAAATGAAAACAGCATTCTATATAAGGAAATCTGCGATGTGGGGAATTCCCATATTCCTACGCGTTGATTGGCTATTTTATTTTCTGAAACAGCCAATCAACTTTCACCGAAAGGTGTAACCTCCATAGGGACTTAAAGGAAATATATCTACCCTGTATCCTCTTGCCCATATTGGTAATAACAATATATTCGTCATGCATACTTCAAAGTGGAGCATTGGCAGCACAACTTCAATAATTAGTTATGATTTTCTGTTTGTTTCCAGCTTTTCCTGTTGAAAGATGTCACTCTCTACGTTCGTCCTTCTGACCACATTTGTCAGTTGTTGCCATGGGGCCAAGATTCTTCTTATGCCAACTCCATTAACAAGCCACTGCCTGGAAATTATGTCCATTGGGCAAGCTCTTCTGAAACGAGGCCATGACGTTACCTTGTTTGCCGTCCTCTCTGATTCCAAATCCTGTATCGGAAAGTTTGATATGGAGACTTTCAAGGAGAAATTCACTCTTATTGTTCCTGATCTGGACCCATCGATACAGAAGGCACATGATGATGTGATGACAACTGTAGGCAAACTCATTTTTAATCGAGGTAGGAATGTGGGAAATGTTTTTGAACTTTTGAAACCAATGATCCATAATCACTGCAGTGCTGCAATGAAAGATAGGGTTGTTTTAGAAAGGTTGAAAAAGGACAATTATGACATTGCATTGATAGATCGAATGCCTGGTTCTGAATGTCTGTTTGCAATCGCCGCCTATCTTGGGGTTCCAACAGCTGCTGTGTTCTCCTACCTTGACCCCAGAGACACTGGAATGCCTCTACAAAGTAACACATTACCTCACTTGATGTCTAGTTTCACCAATGACATGACATTCCCTGAAAGATTCCTCAACACATTATCCTTCTTCGCCAGTCGTATCATGTACAAAGTGTTTTTAACATCTGCAGACTACTCCATGTTGGATGAAAAACTGGAAGGTGTCGACGCCAACAATCTGGTAACAAAGTCTTTGCTTTTATAGAAAACTCTGACTATATCATTGACTACCCCAAAGCTGTGTTTCCGAATTTTGTTCAGTGTGGTGGTCTGACAGCAAGCCCAGCAAATCCACTTTCAGCTGAGATGAAGAAGTACATGGATGCGGCAACAGACGGTGTTGTACTTGTGACCTTTGGAAGCATGATAAAAGGGTTTCCGTCGTCACTGATTGAAAAGCTGATGTCTGCCTTTGGTCGACTAAAGTACCAAGTCCTGTTCAAGCAGGATAAAGAGGAAATCCACGGCAACATCAAAAGCATGAAGTGGATACCACAAAATGATATCCTAGGTCACCCCAACACGAAAGTGTTTATTTCTCATTGTGGAAAGAATGGATTTTGGGAGGCAGTGTATCACGGAGTTCCTATCATTTGTATGCCAATCCATGCAGAAACATTCACCACAGCCATAAAAGTAAAGAAATACAACATCGGATCTAGAATCGAAATCTTTGATGACAGTGTTGATGATCTATTTGAAAAGATAAGGCAGGTGCTTGAGAGCACAGTTATCCGCCAGAACATGAAGAGGATGTCAAGCCTCCTACGTGATAGACCAGAAAAGCCTGCTGATCGTGCAGCATCTGCTGTAGAACATGTTCTCAAATACGGAGGAGACCACATGCGGCCTCCCTCTGTTAGCTTTATTAGTTATATCTATGCTGATGTATGGGTTACTATTGCTGTTATTGTCAGTGTCATAACTACTGCTGTTGTATGGATCTGTCGGAAGTGTTGTTGCAAGGGACAGACTGACAAGAAGCACAAAACTGAGTAAATGAAACCCTGAGTGTTGTATATGGGTGGATATTCCTACTTATGTGAAGTTGAGATCATTTGATGGCTGGCTGATCGTGATTAGTAGACTCCCATGTTAGTGATAAGTTGATGTGATATATCAGGTATAATAACAGGATAGTTTAGAATGTGACCCTCCTGAGAAAACAAAATACTATTGACAAATGTCACCATTGCGTATGTGTTTTCTGAATTATTTAAACTATTACCTTAAGTATTGACGGGTTTTATAAGAGGTAGAAAACGGTATCTTTTATGTAAGTTACATAGTTCGTTTGGCTCAAAAGCGGACCGATGAATTGCAATCTAACTCGAAAACTACTAAACATATAATACTCAATGAAACACTGATCATAATCAAAACATCAGACCAACACTGTGATATTTTTTCAGAATTTCTGTCATAAAAATAAAAAAGTTGCCTTACAAACTATCATTAAAATTTTAAAAAGTTCGCTATTTGTTACAAGGGAGGACTGCAAAGGGAGGAACAGCCAGTTATACGCGGAGCACGTGCACAAGTGCCGACGAAGTTATTGAATCATTTACCTGTGCTGTCTCCATCCTTTATCGCACACCTGGCTGTTCCTCTCTTTGCACCCCTCCCTCGTAACAAATAGTGAACTTTGTCAAAATTTTAATGATAGTTTGTTAAGCAACTTTTCTATTTTTAGGACATAAATTCTGCAAAAAATGCACAGGGTTGGTCTGATGTTTTGATTATGATCAGTGCTTCATTGAGTAAATTATGTTTAGTAGTTTTCGAGTTAGATTGCAATTCATCGGTCCGACTTTGAGCCAAACGGACTATACGTTGCAAGCTGCCGACATCTGCAAATCCGATAGTGTTGTGTCATTTCCCATAAATATGACGCTGATGTTCTGTCTTGGCAATAGGAAATAGGCTTCGATTGCTTTAATGTCGTTTTGTTATTCTGACATGTGGGCTATCGAGATATTTATTGAAGTTTAATTTCGACTTTCCCATATGGGATTTTGGGTTAGGTTTGAACTGTAATAGCTTTGGTTTCTACAAGGCGAAAAAATGGATTGGGTGGTCAGGCTGAGTGGGTTGCAAATGTCATCGTACTCTAATGGCACAGGACGATGCTCCTGGTATCGATCACCTGTTTGTTTTGTCCAGTACCCGATTTTGACTCGGTTATCTACAGCCCGCCGTCATACAAGCTTGATTTAGGCTCAGGATAGCGTTGAACATTAAGTGACTAGAAGGCTTCAAAAATTGTTGTAGGGCAGAGTCTACAAGATACTTAATGTGGCAATCCGCTTTACTGGCTACAACATGTCATAAGTCAATAAATGTGCCCATGTTATGTGGAATCTTTATCTATTCTAGCAGTGTTGTATATATTTCAGCTTGTTACATTGAAACGTCGCATTTGTGAGCTCACTACCTCCACCCTCAATGTGTGGGCAAAACTTTGTACATTGCTAACCGGTGTCTGTCAATACATTCACCTGACTGCATTGACATCTTTTGTTATGAACATTTTAAGCATATTGTTCCAATAGGATCCAACTGTGTGAAATTGTCTATGTCAGTGGTTTTCTCATTTTAATTCGCCAGATACACAACCCCTAACACATGTACAGCCACGATATTTTCTTCAGTGGACAATTGTTAGCAACTATTTAAAAGTTTGCTTTCAATATAAGAATTTGGTATATGTTTTGGAATTGTATCACTTTTAAACCAGCTATTAAACCTTTATTTTCTGTAATGCCTCAATTTTATCATGCTTCGCAATGATATGTTAAACGTTCCTCTATGAAGAAAGTGCATTGGAGAAATCAACATTGAAACACCAAAGGATTTAGTCATAATGATCTGGATTTACAGTGATTACATTTATGTATTTCTTTTCTGTAATGTTCGCCTTGAACCATAATGCTGTTTCAGACATTGTTATTGAGAATTTAAAGATTGTAAATTTTTTACTTTTTTTCACTCATTACTCAGGTATTAAATGTGAATATTAGCAGAACATAACTCCAGATTCAAAGACAGGTGAACAGTTAGTATTTTGTCAAGTCACCATGGGCAGCAATGCAGGCTTCAATGCGGCGGGGCATACTACTGATCAAAGAAGTTAGAAAGTCGTGGTCCATGCTGTCCCAATATCGGACCACCTCTTCTTTCATTTCAGCAATATTTGTCAGATTTTTCTCATTGACACTTTCCTTCATCAGTCCCCAAACATTTTCTATTGGATTTAGGTCAGGGCTATAGCTTGGCGAATCTAATAATGTCATATTTTGGGTCCGAAACCAGGCCTGTGAATGCTTTGAACAATGTTTTGGGTCGTTGTCCTGCTGGAAAATCCAAACATTTCCATAGAACACGTGAGCAGATGGAAGTAAATGTCCCTCGAGAATATCTGTGTACCGCTCACTGTTCATATTCCCTTCAAATACACAGAGGGGTGTTGCCCCTAACACAGATATGCCACCCCACACGTTAAATTTCGGACTGTACTTTGGGCGCTGATACAAAGATTTTTCAGTTTGTTTGTTGCAGAATTTCAGTGTATTAGGAAACAGCCACACAGAACTTTCATCTGAGAAAATCACATTGTCCCAGTTAAAATTTCAATGCTGTAAGCACCAGTTCAACAACCTTCGCTCCTTTTGTTCAGGTTTCATGATGGGTGATGGAATTCCTCGACTTTTCTGCCAACCCATTGCATGCATCTCAGTTCTAATTGTCTCCTTACAGACAGCCACAGTTCCTCTATCAATCATATCCAGCCTTAAGTTTTCTAAACTCCTTCGTTTGTTTTTAGAAACAAGAATACCAAGCCGCCTCCTGTGACCGATAGTCAATTTTCTGGGCCTACCTGCGCCTCCCTGGTGCTCAATGCCATATCCATTTGCAATATTTTTCAAAACACGATAAATTGTGGACAAAGGGATGCCTGTTCTACTTGAAATCACTTTAGCTGATCTGATGTCCTTGTTATAATACTCTAAAATCAACTTCCTCTTCTCTAAATCATCCATACTGAGGATCACTGAAAATGTCGCCTGCTAGCAAGTAAACAAAGGGGGATAACTCTTCACAAAATACTAGAAAAGGATTAACGGAGTTGTCTCTCTTGAATGAAACCAAACACTTGATAGCTGGTTAAGGTTGTTTATACTAGAAATCCAATTAAACATATTCCTAAAATTCTCAATAATTCTGGTCATACTATAACAACAACTCGTGTTAGGAAAGTAGATTTGTTTAACAACTGACTCAAGCTCGGTTAAATTCGTATTATGTCCGCTTCAAGTGCAAAGCGAATGCAGGATAAAAAGCTCCCCGAGAACATTTATGTTTCAGTCCTCGAGGAGGACAAAGTATTCTCAAGTATTATGAACTTAAAGAGAGTTTCAGAGAGTTGAATACTGCTGTTTTTCGTATATATTTTGTAAATAGTCACCGTTATGATAGAACGGTAGAACTGCCACTAGAATTTAATACAGTTAAACAGTTTGACCATATTTTATATTTTAAAGCAATAAATGGGTAGTTTCAATATATCTACGCAATTTTCACACTATAAACATTCAGAAAAATAGAAATGCTGTTTATCACATTCATTTTGACTTTGTAGACAGTCAAGTCATATGTTTAATAATCATTTGGCAACGTACAGCGTTATGAAGAACGGTAGAACTGACACTGGTGATAATAAAGTTAAACAATTTGAACATATTTTATATTTTGGCACTGAATTTTATGTCAATATATCTAACATACAAGAGTTGACAAACACACACACACACACAGTGGCATGAAAAGAAATATAGTTGAGTTACCCAGTGACGAGAGGTATAAGTTGTGTAATATTTCAGACGCTTTCAAAAGCTACATATAGTAAATATATAGCAACAATTCCCTGGAACCATGCCGACGGGCAATCCGACTCTTGTTCTGTCACACCGGCGGTATTCAAATCCCCCTTAAGTACTACCTGTACAAACAGTGTGTAGCTCACTACCCCTTCTCCACCCTCAATAATCAAGGTCAGTAAGTGTGTACACCACGTCGTCTGCCGCCTCAAGGGTGGAAGGACGGTTTGTATGTAAGCCAGTGCTACATCTACAATCAGGCAATACCTACAGTATGGAAGATTACAGACCTTCAACTGCAGTTGATTGATACCCATACACACGTAGAAGCATCAGCTGAACTTGGAGTGGTGGTGCCGATTTCCGAACGATTATTGCGAAAATCACAAAACACGTTCCTTCTATTCCAGTAGGTTGCATCTGCGCTGGGTTCATAGAGACGTCGTGCCCGTGATAAAAGTAAGATATCAACGGCTACATCCAAATGTAACAAACATTTGCTTAATGACCGTTGACAGTTTTTCAAATGGCTTGCGTTCGTACGTTTTGTAGAGTGACTGTCAGAATAGCGTGAGGTTGGGGCTACTGACTGAGATAACAAAATCACAAAACACATTCCTTCTTTTCTTGTAGCTTATCACAGAACACGTATCCGTGATACAGGTTTGATAACAACGACTTTATCTTAATGTAAAACAAAATATCTGCTTAATTACAGTTGACAGTATATTTCATACGGTGCGCTCATGTGTGTTGGAAAGTGAGGGTCAGAATAGCGAGAGGCGAGGTTTACTGGTGAAATGGTTTACTGGGTTTGAAGGCCATGATGTACATTTTTTTGTGACCAAGAAGGATAGTATATGTATACTAGCAACATAAAGAAACTGTGCACAGAGAAAATGCCTTCATAATTGGAATACAATACAGCAAAGATGAAATGATGTAGACACTTTATAAGCTGAAGTATCGGACCACAAGAAATTGTCAAAAGAACATGAACAATATCCGTAACGATGACGTCGGATGTTCAAAATCGAGTAGGGGGTCACACGACGAAGTCACAAAGTCAATAACAGGTATGACCACCTTGTGCGTGAAGCACAGCAGTGCATCGACGACGCATAGAGGCTAGCAAATGAGCATTGAAGGCCTGGGGAATGGTCTGGGGCGTGGTCACTGCTGCCTGGAACCCGAATCCACCTGTCCTGTCTTGGCGTCGTTACGTCGGGAACGCCCAGAACGTGGGTGGTCGGTGACGTCATTACTGTTTCGATAACGCCTGACCCATGCAGATATCGTGTTACGATGGCATTGGAAATGTGCTGCCAGCTGTTGTTGGCTCATTTCTGCTCGAACCATTCCAATGGCTTCATGACGTTGAGCAGATGTTAATCTTGGCACGATGTGTATGTGACTTCTTATGTGGATGTGTGAACGTTTGAATGACCAAAGATCAAGCTTTCGACAGTGACAGCAATTTCAGAGTATATTTATATTTTCTGTGTGCACAGTTTCTATATGTGGCCAGTATATATTAACCCCTTTGACGTCCTGTGGTTAAGGTGTAACTGGTGAGACAGTATTGAATGAATACATTGAATTATAGAATACATGATGTAGGTTGACTTTTCCTCAGACTAATATGACAAAAGTTGATGTGCCTGAAATGCCATCAGTATTCACATTATACCCACAAAAAGGTAGTAGCCAGCTGCTTTGTTAGTCAGTTGTTCCTCATGTTGGCTGTCAAGTCAGGGCCCAATATGTTAGGTGTGTTAGTTCTTTGCACATTATGTTGGTTCTCAGTTAGTTGCTCAATATGTTGGCTCTCAGTCAGGGGCTCAGTATGTTGGTTCTCAGTCAGGGCTCAGTATGTTGGTTCTCAGTCAGGGGCACAGTATGTTGGTTCTCAGTCAGGGCTCAGTATGTTGGTTCTCAGTCAGGGGCTCAGTATGTTGGTTCTCAGTCAGGGCTCAGTATGTTGGTTCTCAGTCAGAGGGTCATTATGTTGGTTCTCAGTCAGGGGCTCAGTATGTTGGTTCTCAGTCAGGGCTCAGTATGTTGGTGGGGCGATGGGGTAGTCTAGTGG